GGACCCACTTACCAAAAACAAAAATCACTTTTGAAATGACCATAACATTCATCTTTACTTCAAATTGCTGATTTACTATTGATGACACACAAATAACCAATTTAAAATTTTTTCCTCAATTTTCAGCAAAAAGCAAAATTCAAGCAAATGTTGCCTGTCCATTTCCAATTTCCCCTACCAAGACAGTGGCAGAGCAGAACGCTGTGCTTCCGAGCAAAGTGTCATTATAATGACGTGGCTTTTAAAAATTTTAATTGATAATGAAAATACAGAAAAATCTGCTAGGATGGTAATTTACAAATGAGATGTATGTACAGCTAAAATTACTTCAAGGAGAGGGGAGGAAGAGGAGGACAGAAAAAGAATGATAATGGAGATTTATTTGGAAGTTGGGATTTTGATATGTTGATTCAGGCCTATTTAGAAATATTACAATGAGAATTATATAGCTGATTTAAAGTTGTTTTTTTTTTTTTTTAAGACAGAGTCTCACTATGTGGCCCTTGGTAGAGTGCTGTGTCGTCACAGCTCACGGCAATCTCCAACTCTTGGGCTTAAGCAATTCTCTTGCCTCAGTCTCCCAAGTAGCTGAGACTACAGGCACCTGCCACAACGCCCGGCTATTTTTTGTTGCAGTTGTCATTATTGTTTTAGCAGGCCCGGGCTGGGTTCAAACCCACCAGCCTCGGTGTTTGTGGCTGGCACAGTAACCACTGTGCTATGGGCTCTGAGCTGATTTAAAGTCTTCTAAAAGCAATGTAAGTTTATAATTAATCGAATTATTCTCAAAATCGATATTCAAATAAGCAGCACATTCTTTATTTTTATTATATGGAAATAGTTTATTAACATAATTGTAATTATCGATAATGATAGTTGTATGTATTAATTATAATAAAAGTAACAAGCTGGAAATCTTTATTTTCTTTCTATAAAAACAACCCCATTACCCTGCCCTACCCTAATGCCCCTACAGAAAGTTTCCTGGCCTTCTGTTTCCTAACTTCAGGTAGAGCTGTAATGCAGCCAAAACAGAGGTTGTTAAAGCAAACTTATTTTTAGATCTTTTGATGGCAGGTGAGCAAAAACCTCAATGGAGGACAGACAGAAAAATTTCTCAAGACTGAAGTGGCTGACAGTGTGCCAGGTCCAGGAGAGTCCAGCATGTAGCCTGTCCTTTCCCGACAGCTCTGTGGACAGCAGCCCCTCAGAGGCATGGGCTGCACATGAGCCTGGAGGACTCAGGCAAGGATGCTGATACCCAATGCAGGCACAGCACCCCTGAAGCACTTGTCTTCAAGAGCTCCTGCAGTTGTGGCCAGTGATCCTACTGGCAGTGAGCAGTGGTGACTGACAAATGAAGAATTTGTAGCCCACCTGAGAATACCAGAATACACAGGGTCAGGTAGGGGGAGGAGATGGGAAGATGGGTTCCTGGACTCCAATAATGCCTGTATTTCTTTTCTATCCAACCCAGGGAAATTGAGTTTAGTGCTGGACTTAAATTCAAGGGAAAAAATAAGTAAATAAAAGTGATATTAATTCACAGCTACAATTTAAGTAAACCCTAGATTAGGCATAATCTTCATAAATCATCAATTGAGTTCTTAAGGGAGAAGGCCAAAGAAAGTATGCATCTAAAATTTAAAAGAAATTTCAATGTAAACTTAATCTATTACTTATATTTGTTATTTTCAGATAAGATGGAGGGCATGAGTGGATGATGGTTAGATGAGTAGATGCCTCATGAGTTCAATTCTGCTCTTAAAAGTTGTAACTTTTCTTGGCTAGTTGGCTGGCTGGTCACTGAACTTTGATCTTTTGCCAACCTATTCTGTGTACGCAGTCACCTGCTCAGAGACTCTGCCAACCATGCGTCACTGTGACTTGAATACAACAGATCTATCTATCTGCAGTTAGTATTGAAGTAATAGACTACAGAGCTCTAAAACTCTAAGTTGCAAAAAAAAAAAAGAAAAAAAAATTGGGTGATGCCTGTGGCTCAAAGGAGTAGGGCACCGGCCACATATGCCGGAGGTGGCAGGTTCAAACTCAGCCCCGGCCAAAAACTGCAAAAAAAAAAAAAAAAAAATTACAATTTTTCCAAGTCCCAATAAAGCCTTCAGTGTATACCTTCCATCATATTATCATAGTGTGGTTATATAAGATGCTTTGATCATATAATTCTTTCATATTACTTGCAAAATAACCTAGATATTAGAAAATGAAATTCTTTTTCTCCCAGGTGTTATACATGGGATTACATATGAATCTGTGAGAGGATGGATTTCCTTCAGTTCTCAAAAGGTGTTTTTAAAAATTAAATTAATTGCAAAAATTTAAAAATTGAGATTTCCCATAGGAACCTACAAATGTCCAGGATATGTGGGGGAAATTCATAAGACCCACAGCACTGTACATCAGGGCTACAGGGTTAAGTTCTGCAGGTTTCTGTACAACCAAACCCAGGAGACACAGACATAATCAACCCTCCCTCACACAGACTATAAAACACAGAACTACAAAGGTCTGCAGTACATGGCAGGTAGAGCCTGCTGGGCAGACATTCCCTGAGAGAACGAAGGCTGAGTCTGAACCCTGAGGATCCCCGTTAGACGGGCCTTGTGATCCCCAGCGTCTCCCAGAACCCACAGCTCCCAATTTATTTCTTGCTTTGCCTACATTTTTTGGCCTGGTGCCTGGGGTGTCTGAGTTCACATTCCTGCATTAGACGTCCTTCCTTTCTCACTACCTGATGAAGGGGTTTGGCAAAAATAAAGATGAGCTATCCATTTTAACCTTTTCATGTTGTAAGGTCGATTTTGGTGGACTTAGGCACGTATTATATTATACAACAATTAAAATATTTGTGAAGAATCATGGTGGCAGTCCTATTATGTGACGAGTAAAGGTCAACCTACACCTTTAGACCCTTAAAACTGAGCTGCAAGTAAAGGTTACTTTCTATTGCTACCACACGAGTTTCACAATACATGGATTGTATTTGAGAGACCCTGGTCTGATCAAGGACAGAGTATCTCTGATGCGAAATGCACCATAAAAATGTGAATATATCGTGAAATTTTCAGCATATTTCATATATCAATGCACATTTTATTTAAAATAGCGATGAGAGTGATTCTGATTTATGAATGTGTTTGTTTGGCTAATAGGATCCTTTCTTAGCATCTTTTGTTCTGTCTAGCCACAGACTAAATAAATGCTACTCTAGGTAGGGATCGGTGTCACAAATAAGGGTCAAACATATTATGCAACTGACAGTTATATATATTAGGAAAAGTTTATAGTCAATTGAATATTGTTCATAAAACTAATGCAAAAATCCCCCATTTGATGAGACAGATTATTTTAGTTTTCTTTGAATAACATAGGGAGGGAGACAGATTTGTTTTGATGTTTAGAATTTAGGTAGAAAAATTGTCATTTTTAATGAATGTTTTAAGCAGTGAAATAAACTGACAAAAATAATTTTTAATTTTGTCAAAAGATTATAGTCGCTACCTGGAAGCCCTTGAAATTTTGTTGAGTGATCTGACTCCAGAAAAAAATCAATGGAGCGTTTGTTGGAGATAGTAAATATCTAGGGACATGGGAATTTATACCTGGAAAAAAGTTGAAGGTCTAGAAATCTCCAAAAATCTATATATGCTCAGAAGAAAGTTTTAATTATCATAAAACACATTAAAATGTGAATTTCCCCTCAGAATACAATGAATACACTACAGTCAAAATGATTAATTTTTATTCTGATAGAGATAAACTCTAACTTGACAGATAGTATTTCAAGTACAGATATCATTTTATGTATCCATGGTCTCAGGAGTGTAGGCTCTTTCAACTAGTAGAATATTCTAGTTAACTGACTGTTATTAACATATTAATTCTGAATATAGATGGCCAGGTTTTCAAAGATACATTGTGTAAAAAGTTTGTCTTTAGCAGTAAAAACGAATGTGAATATATTTTATCCTTCTGTCCGTGAATCAAAAATAAATTAGCACCTTCTCTTATAAGATTATAAATCTAATGCACCATAAATACTGTCAATACAGAATAATGTAGTGTTAGAACTAGGTCTTTGACATGCATTCCTATTTATTAATTTGTTAATTTAATTAATAAAATAGAATTATTTTGTTAAATAAATCTCTGAACTTATGTCTTTTTAAGAAATAAAGGTTAAGAGGTAGGTAAAGAAGAAAGTGAGATTAGAGTTTCTGGTTAAATTCTAGAGTACAAGGATTTTAATATGTATTTTCTGAAATGAACTCAAAAGGAATAAAAACAATAAAGTTCTAGGCCTAGTTCTAAAGGAGTAGTCTGTGTTTTTAATTATTAAATCCATGTGAATAATTCTAGGTTATGTATATGTGACCAAATTGAAAATAAACTGAAACCACGTATGTCTAACCCAAACATAAATGGAGACATCAGTGACTCTTAGGGTTGTGTTTATATTAAATTTGGAATAATCGTAATTTTAAGCAATGTGCTGACTGACACGAGCACTTTTTAAGAGCTCTAGAGCATAGTCAGTTTTTCCTTCTTGACTGTGGGAGGAAAAAAGGATGAAAAATGAAGATCAAAACTGGAGGTGTCATTTCATATAATCCACATGAACTCTACGGAATCGCAGAGGCAAAGGGGTCTTACAGCACGAACGTATTATAGAATGGCTTGACAGACATATAACGGTATTGAGGAAAGAGGAAAGAAAGAGAAAAAAAACTATATTTCAATTCCAAATTATATCAACACAAGTAAATATATAAAACACCACTGATCTTTAACCCTTATTAAGCTGAAGTTTTTAGTTTTTACAGCAAACCACATTAAGACGCCCTCAGGTAATTTCCATTACGGACCACCTTACCTTACCAGCTTATCTAAAAACAAACTTGGGGTGTGGTTTCTCTGCTCTAACAACAGAACTCTACGCGGAGCATCAGATTCGTTTACTAACAGCCCCCACCCCTTACCTGGCGGGAGAAATGCCGTATGCTGTTGCAACTGCATGTTGGCTAGAGCCTGTTGGTACTGGAAAATACCAGTGTTAAAGACTGCGGTGGCACCGTTGGTTTTTTCAAGAGCAGGCCTCTTTGGTAATGGGGGAAGTACAGCTTGAGGAATTCCCTGTTTAGTGAATGAGTATAAAAAACAAATACCAGTAAAAAGAGAAAAAGAAAAAAGAACAATCAGTGGAAGGCTAAACTTGTTAGGAAGCATGAGCAAGCAGGCAGCAGAGCACTTAACTAACCCAAGGGAAAAAAAAAATCCAATGAACAAAAAAAAAATCAAGGGGAAGAAAAAAAAAAAAAAGCAAGATAAAAGCTTTACAGGAAGCATTATTTTTGTCCAAACCAAAACCCCACTAGTAGGAGAGCACATGTTATAATGCGTTAAGGTGTTTAATGTCCCATAATGCTTCAGGCTTTCTGTGAGAAGCCACTGATTTGGGAAAAGAAGAAAAGCTGCACTGGCCGCTCCACGAGGGTCGACAAGTATAAGCAATGTTAATCGTTAATTATAGAGTGACTGATAAATAAAAACTAACCCCACTCTGCTCCTCCCCACAGGTCTACCTCAGCATGCAAATGTCCCAGAGCATGCAAGTTTTTTTTTTTTTTTCCTTAAATACTGAACTATCAATATTAAAAAAGTAAATAATTCTATCACTAAAGCCATGCTAACCAAACAGGTACATAAGGATACAGTCAAAAATATACTTTTAATGTCCTCCAAGTATTTCTCTAGAACATTCTACAATGTAGTCAAACTGAATGTGGGCTGCTGGGCTTTCAGAATCTTTTATGATATGACATCCATCAACGTACTTATAGTCTTTCCACTGATTTTGTCAGGAAACCACACTCAGTTTTTCATTGTACTTTACAACTTTACAAAAGAAAAAGGAATATATATTTTAAAATTGATAAAAAAAAAAACTTGTATCTACAATAAAGCTACATGCCAAGCTAAAAGGTGAAAGGTCATAGTACCAGGTCAAAGGTTGCCTCGAGGGGTCGCTTCAGTGATTTGACAGCCGACTGAGTCTTAATTAGCAGGCAGCGAGCACATGATGGCAATGGGCCAGTGGGGTTCAAGCGCATTAACATAAACAGCAAGCAGAGGTGCATCATGGGGGCAGCAGTGCATTTTTGGGTAGGTGAGAAAAAACAAATAAAAAAACAAATCATCGGAATGCCATATACAACGAATAACAAGACTAAGCATGCACAATAAAGGCACTACTGAGTTGTTATTGGGAAGATAACTCCTCTTTGTCGTTAATTACAAACGAGATATTCTAACAGAAAAAAAAGAGTGAAAGGAAGAGAGGAGAGAGTCTGGCTTCTGTATTTTTGCTCAAGTATCCATATAAACAAACACAGAAAAGACCTCTCTCGTGATTATTTCACTGTGCTGTGAAAACACTGCACAGTGACTTCTCAGATGAACATTTTAATGATTAAGTCATGTATCTATGTAAAGAAGGACAACATTGAAATAGCTAAGCAAAGAAGAAAGAATGGACTCATTAAAATCAGCTATTAGATCACAGTAAAATGTACTTCAGAATCTAGTTTAGTGCCTATTGTAAATGATTCCGTTTCTAACTCCTTGAATACTGCTGTCTTAGTCTGAAATCTCTACATGATGGCATAGTCAGGCCACTCTAGGTTTACTCTTACGTTTATGCCACAATATTATGAAATAGCGATCGAGATAGCGTACTGTTCCAAATCCTGTGTCTAAGGCTAAAAATACTCTGGTGGAAGCAGTTCTCCTAAACAGCTCCAGATTACCTTATTGCTAAAAGCGAGATATATGTAAAGAGCCTTGATGTGCAAAAGCACACACCAGAGGGAAACAATGGCTGATTAGATGACACACAGAAAGAAGAAGACTGAAAATGGCAGTATCGTTATATCGAAAAGGAGACAGGTGGTTTTTACAAAGCAGGAAATTTCAGAAAGCCTACATCCAGAAAAAGATAAGAGTATTAAAAGTTAGGCCAAGAGGAGGAGCAATCTGAACCGTCTGAGGAGTTACCCTCACGGCTGTGAACGGTAACTTCTTTATGTATTGTCTGGGATACCTGAACAAACATATCTTCAGCAAAAATTTGAAAAGAAAAGGTTAATAAATGAACAGCTTGTCGTCAGATACAGTCGCTCACTTTGCCTTTCTGCTTGCTAATGGGGAAGGCCGAGGCGGCTACTCACCATGGCAGCTGCGGTGGCTGCAGCCTGTGCTGCTGCAGCCTGGTTGACCTGGTACTGAGCAGCCTTGATCTTGGCTTGCAAATGTGCAGGGGGATGAAAGTATTTGCACTTTTCCCGAGAGCATCTCCCTTTGATGTAATCCATACACACAGTGACTGTGTTGTCATTGGTGTCAATCATTGTGCTGTCAGCAGGGTGAGCAAATCGACAATCGTTTTCTCCTCTGTTGCAGTTGCCACGCTGGTACTCTCGACACACCTGTGAGGTCATTAAGCGTAGGAGGTTTAGTCAACATAAGCCAGCAGAACCTTTCTGCAGATTTTAACTTAAAGTTCAAGGCAGGTGAGAGAAGGCCATCAATGAAAGGGGGAAAGACGATTAGCAATCAATGCAACAAAATAACGTTAGCAATTCCCAGCTTAGTATACAAACTGTAATTCCAGTTCAGTAAAATGCCCCTAAGAAAGGAAATGCATGGATGATATTCATTATGGCAAAACATCTGATCTAAAATTGTTTTGATACCCTTACTAATTACCTACAGAAAAAAATAGTAACTTTGCAGTAAAGAAACCTGGCAGACACCGCTGAAACCAGTGATCAAAGTTAACGTCACAAGCAATGTTATAATGACATCGTGTGTCTACTGATATGAGGCGATGAGATATAATGACAGAAGGTCACAAAATCACTTCATATGTAATTACCTGCATTTAATCCTAAGATCAGATAATTTGAATGAAAGGATATTTTAGAAAACAACCAATCAGTATTCTCCCAAAGTGCCAAGGTCATGAAAGACAGAGAAAGACTGAGACACTCACAGACTGGATTAACCTGGACGCAGACAAAGGAAATTGGTAACACAAAATGGGGAAATTTGATGGAGGTTTGTAGATTGGCAGATGGCAGGATATCCATGCTAATTTTATAGTTGTATAAGAGATCCTACGGTCATATGAGATTTTAATATTTTTAATATTTAGCTCAATAAAGGGTAGGCAGGAACACCTAGTTCTATTTTTGTGACTGTTGTGCAAATTTGAAATTATTTCCAAGTAAAAAGTATAAAAAATAAAATATGATAGCTTTTTATTAAAAAATTTTAGGAGCTTTTTTTATCATTAGTGATTTCATTTGGTAGCTATATGAAACACATAAACAAGATCAGATTTGTTGCTGTCTGATTTGCCTTGGGAATCCCGGGGAAAAGATGACAATAGATTATTTCTCATTGGCCCGCTCCATTTTCACTCTTATTATTAAAGGCTCCCGCAGGCTTCACTTGGGATAGTTTGACCTTTTCACCACCAGAGGGCCACCTAAAACACAGAATGTCCTTTCAATATTTTGCGCTCCTACTTGAAGCTTCAAAGAAACAGTTTTTATTTTTCAAGTGTTTTTTTTTCTACAATCTGAACAATGCAGACACTGAGCATTTATTTTGTAGTTAGCCAAGAAAGAGAAACTGTAACCCTGCTACAAAAAGCAAGCTTTGCTTGTATTGATAAAAATAAAAAGATTGCATTTAAATGCTAGTGTCTTTCTTCCATGATATTCATTTCCTATAATTGAGTAAAGTGCTGCTTCAGGAAGGACGCTATAATCCGAGTCATGCTACAGATTAAAAAGAACATTATAAAGAACATCTTGCACTGTCTGGAAACCTCAAACTAGCTAAAATGTTTTATTCTACATACATACAATGAACCAACTCAATTTATCTAATTTAAAAACTTATTGAATCACTATTATGTGCCAGACACTAATATACCAAGAACACAAAGATGCCTTAGGAAGTTATCTGACATTCTATATTTTATTAATGTAGTTATCACATTGAACAGAGTATAACGAGGAGCTTATAACTTTAAAAGCAAAAATGATCAAGCTTCGTTTAGAACAATTACCCCCGAACAATTATCGGATCCCCCTGAGCATCCGATTCAGCTGTGGGACTATCCCAAACACAGATTCCCGGTACCTAACCAAAACACACAGGACGGGCTTACCTCCGTACCTAGGAAGAGAGACACATCTACATTATCTGAGAAGAAAGCATTTTATTAAAATATGTGAAATTTACACTAAATACAGGCTACATCATAAACAAGAAGGCTCTTCTTCTGTTTAAACAAGTCTATGTCAAGGCAGCTGCATTCAATTGTAGATTTGCAGAAGGTCTTTATGTGATTCTTCATGACTGCTGTCAGCTCCTCAGTAATTCCCGCGTTCGTGAACTTGATCAAAAGTGAACTGGCAGCAGGAAATAAGTACTCTATTTTTAAACTTAGCTTACTCTTTGCCACATTGACAAGTTAGATCTAAAGCTAATCTATTTGTACGGCGTGTGTGTTTGCGGTTTCTATAGGTTAAGGATTGATTTATCCTAATTTTATATTCTTTTTTTTCTTGTGGGATGCATTTAGAAAAAATTCTGAAAATATTTAAGCAGAGTTGATCACTAAGAAATAGCTTAAAATGTGTCCTAACACCATTCTTTGCAAAATTTCAAAGAATTTAGTCAAGTGTTTTTACATAAGATACACTTTTGACAGTTTCATATATTTCTATTTTTCTAGCTTAATGTTTCTCCTGACATGAGAAATGGGACAGAAGCAATAGACTGAAATAGCTATTCTCACATTATTTTTGTCTTTGAAAAAATAAAAAAGAATGAGAAATCTCTTTTGAGTCCTTGTACTGGTGAAGACTACAACCCAGATGGGCTGGAAAGGCCCTAGATGTGTGTCTGAGTTGTTGGGTACTTCTCTTAAACATATTTTTACCTAACAGTCACCATTAATAAAATGGGATCTATCCTTTGACAGCTGTATATAAGTTTGCCTGGTTTCTCTGAAAAACTTAAAAAAAAAAATTAGACTCTGCCTGTCCCTAAAGAAATCTTTAGAAAATTATAATTGACAATCAAAATTTCTGTTAATTTAATTTTAAAATTCAAATCAGGATAAGATCTGGAAAAGATTTACCATACAGAGAATTCAGAACACACACAGAAGGTAAAATTAAATCAGAAAATCCTAATAATATTAGGGTTCTTTTCCCCCCGCTGCTTTTCTAGTCCTCTGCACGCGTATGTGTGGTGACTTTTTTGCTCATCAAGGTAGTATAACACTTTCTCACCATGCTAAATGGTATCCAGGGTGATCATTCTGATGGCTCCTCAAATCTCATCACACATAATGCAGGTGACTCAGAGGGCATCTATTATTTCTAACATTCACATATTGTTAAGTAATACTGCAAAGAATATATTCATGAATAGGTGTTATCACTTTTAAGGCCAACAGTGCAAAAATGGCATGAATGAGTCAACAAATAAAAGTACTTTCTACTATTTGGTGAATGGTTTTTAAACCTAAATTAGTTTATCCTACAAGGGTACAAGTGAATCTTTCTAAAAGCAGAGTATGAAGGTCTTAACTCTGTAAGAAAATGACATGAAGGCTACGTTAACCAGTTCGATGAGAGTATTTCAAAATGTATATGAAAACACCACATTGTACCCCATGGTTGCATTAATGTACACAGCTATGATTTTAAAAAATAAATCTAAAGAAAAAAAAAAAAAGATGACAGGCATGAGTCACCGCACCCAGATAAGGTTTGTTAAATATAAAATTAACAAATGCTTTCACTTTTTGAAATTAAGTACATAGGAGTTAGATTTTTACAAACTGATGTACATTCTTAAGTATATCTAAATTAAAATTTCTAAAATGCAAAAAAACCCACCCTAAATTAAAATAATCAGATTTATTTAGCTAAACACAAAAAGTGATTCCATGGAGAAGAATGTTGAGTCTTTTATGCTTCAACTATTAGCAAGAATTTGGTGAATCAGGGAAGTTTTTATAAACTTTCATTCTACGTGGATAAAAGGTTGCTTTTAGGGTAAAAAAAAAAAA